TTGAGCTTGGATTTATATCTCAGTACAGGATACAATGTAACACTGGTTTTCCATTCATGCTAACTAGCCCCTGCCTTCACACCAGGGTTTGGCTTTCTCCTTCTCTTTCAAGGAAGACCTGGTCAATAGATTGGAAGATTCAATGGGAGGAACAAGACTTAGATACCTATGGTACTAAAAAGCAAGATGTGGATGCTTTCTCCTTCTGCCTTCTCACTTGTCCTTAAACAAGCCAATCTTTCATTTTAATGGCAGTTGGATGGGGTGGCGGTGGCAGCTGGAGAAGGCAAATCAGGCCCTGGGGGGCATTCCTCTACTGGGCCCCCAACACTCCACCCCGTGGTTTAGGCTCAGGTGTCCACCTGGACCATATCATCCCCTATTGCCTTGACCAAGATCTGCTAATGAAGAACTTCCTGGGAAGAGAGGCCAGAAAGAGGCCAGCTGGAGAAAACCATTCAGCCTGATTTAATCTATAAGAGTGAAGAACTCTCAGGGTTACATTTCAGCACTTGTAAGCTTCTCAATTACAAGAAAGAGGGAGGCTTACCCAGAGAGGACAGGATCCCCAGATTCTCATCCATCACTTCCTGATGAAGCGCCCTTTTGCCTGGGTCCAGCAGGGCCCACTCTTCTTCTGTGAAATCCACAGCCACCTCCTCAAAGGTCACCTGCAGAAAGAAAACCATACTGTTTCAGACTGCTTAAGAAAACTGAACCTCTTACAGGGTGCCATCCACAGGCCCCTTATAGGGGCAATTTTGATAGAAGCAAAAGAAAAGGACAAGATTCTGTGGGGACCAGGGAGTGATCAAAAGGAGAAGTCACTTGGCCCACTCTTTTCTTGGCTTTCTTGAGATCCTCTCCTCTGCCTACCTGATAATGTATTGTAGAAGCTTTTCTGAGTCCACCAGGATGAAGAGATGTCATTGTACATATAGACCCAGTCCTTATTTCACTTCCTGGGAGGAACAGAAAAGGGAAGAGAATGCTGTTAACCATTAGGTAGATAAAGATGGCTGATCCCACCTTTTGGAATTCCCTTCTACATCCCTTAATGTAAGTATGCAAACCAAACAGGCAAGTATCTCACAGAGAATTAAATAGCTATAAAAATGTTAACCGACTTAAAGGAAAAAGCACCAAAATTTGGTTGAGAAGGGAATGGAACAGAGTTCCAACAAGTCCAGGTTCCTGGTTCTTCCCTGCGTAGGGAGGGGACAGGAACTGGTGGACTCTGGGGCTGTCAGAGGATGAGGATATCAACTCACTAAAGCAGCTTTTCTATTCATGCTTTCTTCTTTATAAACATGCACAGGTATACCTCAGGTAACCAAATGGATTTATTTCTGGGCATTATGTCTTTAAAAGAAAACTTGGGTCTAGAGGCAGAAGTAACATGGAGTTAATAGGAAATTCCTGCACCACAAAAAGGAGGAGTACTTCAACATATTTCTGCAACCTTTTTATTTAAAACTAACAAAAGGCAGACATGAAATGAAAGAGCTGGATCAAGACAAGCCTTGCATAAGTAAACAAAAACATTTTGAACTTTCTACAAGCTATATGACTTCTTCCAAAATGCACTGGGGGTGACTGTGTCTGACACTAGCCTCCACTTTTACTTTTCTTTTGATTTCCATTTTGGTAGCCAAACTTACACATCTCTGGCAGTGGAGTCACTCTGGGGAGTGTGGGGGATGCGGAGCCCAGAAGAGGGGTGACACCTAGCTGAGTGCCCCTCACACCTCCCTGCCACGCACTATAGCACACGAGAGGCCCATGGCAACCCTTTCTCTCTGCTTGGTGTGGCTTTACTTGTGTGTAAAGCCATGCTGGGCAGGGAGGGAGAGGCCTATGGCACCCCTTTCTCAGTCCTCGGCACAGCTTTACCTGTGTGTAAAGCTGTGCCGGGCATGGAGGTGAGGGAGAGTCCTTTTTGGCTTCACTCCCTCCATTGTGTGACACCTTGGTGTGGGACGCCACTGATCTCTGGATTTTAAAACATGCAAGGGAGCTGGTAAGGTTAGTTATCTGCTCTCCTTTTCTGGCCACACATGGTCAGCAAGGGAATCTGTTGGCAGCTGCCGTTTAGATTGCCTATTGTAGGCAGGAACACACTGCTACCGTAGGATGGGCTAGAACAGAATTCCACTCTTTCCCACAACAGGCTTTATTGTATTTTCTACAGAAATGCTACTGTAACCTGATAGTGAAAGTCTATATTCCTCCAATCTTCCTTCACCATCCTCCCAGTGCCAATGTAGCTACATAGAGGATGAGAAGGAAAAGAAAGATGATCAGACATAAAAAGTCCTTTTAGAAAGATGGCCCGTCAGAGACTTTGAAACGGGTAGGAGAGAGTGGCTTCCAGCCACTTTGAGGGTGGAGCATGCACCCTAAAGTTGCCCAAACCCAGCCACAAAAGGAGTGGTAAAAAACTGCTCCTTGCCTGCAGTTCATTTTGGACTGTGGCAGTGGCTGGCTTTGGGAGCCATGGTCCCATGCTGATCAGGGCTGGAGCAGCCTCTGGCCGTATTTGTTTGACCTCTTTGTTAACTGAGGTATGCCTGTAATTTCAAAGTGCTGCATAGGCTATACGGAATTGTTCAAGTGCTACAACTATACAGCCCAGATATTTCAGACATATGTGAGAGAAGAGAGTCAAGTAGGAAACTAAATTCTTAGTCTTTACTCATTGAGGAGGCTTTTCCTTCTCTGTCCTGCATGATCCACGTGGGTTGCTGCCTTTGACTGGATTTGGAAGGACATTTCTCCACGTCAGCTGTCTCTTCCACAAACAAGTCCTGAAACACCAGCAGAAACAGGGGAAGAAAAGAAAAAGAGATGAATTAGGGAAAGGAAAAAAAGAGGACAAGACCTTGTGATGTGTGTCACCCTCACTTTAGATGATTTCCAGATAAAAGCTGTTAAGGGATAGCTAGATTTACACAATGATGAAGATGATTTTATTCATATGTGCCCCTTTTTTTGGGGGGGGGGGGCTTCCAGTAATTAGAACAAGTACAAAGAAAAAGAAAGATAAATGCATAAACAAATTGTTGTTAAAAAGTAATCTATCTACAGAATTGAAACCATTTAAAAGACAAGTGGTTTCAGGTAGTTTCCAGAAGGCTGGTTTCATCTCAGGGGGGAGTCAGTTTAACCTCCCCAGGAAGGGAGTTCTAGATCTCAAGGGCAGCCACTGATAGAAGACTCTATCCCTTGTTCCCATGAGAGTCAAACCATGATGGTGATGGAGCCTGAGGGTGGAGATCACTCATGTGGGAGAAAAATAAAGCTTAAGGTATTCCCCATTGACAAGGTTATCAAGTCATGTCCAACTGTAGGGGGTGGTGCTCATCTCCGTTACTAAGCCGAAGAGCCAGCGTTGTCCAAGGACTACTCTGTGATCATATGGGGAAAAACACTCCTTCAAAAAGCCTGGAAAAAAGCCAGGCACAGCTTTACAGCAGTGATTCAGAAACTGTAGTGGTGGTGGTGGTGGTGGGAGACCTGTGGGGAGGCACAAGATTTGGAGACCCTGATCCATCCTCCTGCTCTACCCAAATTTGTTGTGTAAAATTTACATATGCATTGAATTTACTGAAAGAATTTACTTAAATAAAACTGTTCTAATTTGGACAATATTATTTCTTCTTATTTATTATTGAGTATTAGTGTTTCACAAGACATAGCTAGCATGATGAACTGTGGCTGGAACTGAACCAATAACCAGTGTAACCTGTTTAAAAAGGAAGTCTTGGGTTCCCTGTAACCAACCCCAGTTAGCAATCTGGCTGCAAACTGTGTCTTCTGGGGGAAGACAATCTCATCCAACCCAGTCTTCCTTGACTGACCAGAATGCCTTCTTTTTTCTGTGTTAAATCTCAGTTTTCAAAACTGACTATTCAAAATCCCTGCCAGAAAATAACGATGCCCCCTTGAAATGAACAGGATGAAATGACCTCACCTGCTTCTGTTCCAGTTTCTTCTCCTCTGCCTGGCTCAGGAGGAAGCCCTCTGCCAAGGCCACTGCTTGGGAGGTCGTCTCCGCTCTACACTCTCGAACCCAGCTCTCCATATCTGGGGGAAGGACAGCCAGAAACTGCTCCAGGATCACCAGGTCCATCATCTCAGCCTTGGTGTGTCTCTCTGGCTTCAGCCATTGACAGCAGAGATTGTGGAGCTGACTGCAAACCTCTCGGGGATCCAAAGCATTCTCCTGGTAGACAAACTGTCTGAAGTGCTGGCGCTGGGCCTCAGAACTGAGCATCTTCTCCTCCAAGCTCCTCTGCTGCATGGCTCTTCCCAAGAACTCTCTTCTGTACTTGACCTGACCAGCATGAAATCCTTCTCCTAACTTACATCAGACTGAGTCTTAGTTCAGCATCAGTGCACTCAAACATCTTCCCAGACAGCAGAAAAGCACTTTCTTCTTTTACTGGATTCTGTCTCAGGTGAAATTGCCAGGAACACCAAGGCCTACAAAGAAAACAAATATCCTGTGAATGAGCTGCTCTGAAGACACTCTTGAGAGATGTGTTACAGCCAAATCCAAACTGAAAAGTGGTTCTTGTCTCTGTAAAGAAAAGTCTAAAACACACTGCAGAAATAATCCAATTTGAGACTGCCTGAACTGTCCTGGCTCAGTGTTAGGGAATTTGGGGAGCTGTAGTTTTGTGAGACATTTAGGCTTCTGTGTCAGAGAGAATGCTGATACCACAATAAATTATAATTCCCAGCACCTAGACCGGGCTCTACAGGCAAATGGTTACTCCAGCTCAGAC